AAGCAAGAGCAAATGGAAGCAGTTGTCAACATGGTATAAAACATGGCAGAAACAAGGCCAAAACGACACACCGATAGGGTAGTCGAGAGTCTGTGCAAGGGCTAACCCGATTTGAGGTAATGAAGAAGAAAACAAACATCAATGCAAGCCATATGACTTAAAGTCTGCATATGCACCCTCCATAGCTTATGGACATGAGTGTTGAATGCAAACTATAAGAGCGTCATGTTGAGCACAAGTAGATGAAATCAAATTTTTTGACCAACTACTTTATATACACCATTTACAAGCCTGAATCTTTTGGCGAGGCTACTGGACGGGTTGTACGGAGTCTCATCATAGATCCAATGTCTTGATCATATACATTTAACAGTTGAGGGAACTCATTTGTCAGCTGATTGAGATCACTAGAGAGGACTGCTGGAGCAGCAGCTCCATGCGCCTAAGAGGAATGTAGTTTTGAAAAATAATTAATGATGCTGTGAATGACAAATAGTTCAGGCTGTGAAAGTGCCTGTTGCACTATTTAAAGTAGGTGAAGTGCCTTCAAGGTTCGAGCTGATGACATAGATTTAAACTCAAAAGCAACTCTGACTATTTCGCTTTAGTGACGTTGTGTAGCAAATCGGCTATGGTTGCCTTATTCAGAGTTTTTGTCCATAGTTGCATTTTTTGACTTTCTCTTTATTCTTACTTCCAATTATATATTTATTCCTTAATGCAGAAAAAATATGGATTTTTTATCTGTGCTGTAAAATACGACTCTTTGGTGATCCCTTTTAGGACCAGTTATCGGCAGAGAAATGCGCTGGCTTAACTTGCACTTTATCAATAACTTTTTGACATAAATATGTATTCCGCTTTGATTCATAGTTCAGTAAATGGTAAACGGATTGATAAGTGCGCGGCCATTGCCCTACCCGGAGCAAGATTTTCATTTCAGATTCTGCATGTAACGGTAGTAAAACACTTGCAAGAAGGGCCCAATTTGGTTATTATCATCACTTTCTATCCTTCTTCGATGACTTGCCTTATTTGACAGGCACCTGGTTCTTGATTGCGTTCAGAAACAGGTGGAATTTATCAGGTTGTACAAGAGCAAACTTATTTTATTTGAAAGTAACACATAAGAGGGACAACAAATAATACATATGGTTAGGTGCTAGAGCCATAATGGAGGGGCAACAAAAGC